AACTAAGGCAGTCGTTTTCCGGTGGCTGTTCCGAGATGTGGATTACGCAGCTGTTCTTAGGAGGCGGGTGCTATGGCTGTTCTAAGGTACCGCTATCCTTATCCTGCACAAAACACTACGGTATCCCTCTCCCAGAGCAATCGCAAAAGGCGCCCCTTTCCCCCTATCCTGCACAAAACATTACGGTATCCCTCTTCCAGAGCAATCGCAAAAGGCGCCCCTATCCCCACGCAAAACACTACGGTATTCCTCTCCCAGAGCAATCGCAAAAGGCGCCCCTTTCCCCGAACATCTGCAAATGCCAAGCACAAACGAGAACCGAAAGAACGCTGATCCCCATCCCCCCGCTCCACCCAACACCGAGCGTCCCCAACACCGGGCACCCTCCAACACCGACCGCCCCGCACCCCCCGCTCCACCCAACACCGAGCGTCCCCAACATCGGGCACTCTCCAACCCGGCCGCCCGCCCAAACACCGGCCACCTCCCCAAGCTGCACCCAACACCGAGCGTCCCCAACACCGGGCACCCTCCAACACCGACCCCACCCCCAAACACCGGACACCTCCCAACACTTTCCTCCCCCTTTCCTCCCCCCTCTCCCCATCATGAGCATCATGAACCACTACCACCCCACACATAACGCCATGAACCACCCAACCACCCCACCCCACACATAACGCCATGAACCACCCAACCACCCCACCCCACACATAACGCCACAGTGAGCAGCGTTAGACCGCTCACTGGCCTCTGTGCACTACATATGTCTCATCCTACCGTATCCACAGAATACCGCTTTGAATCGTGCCGTGTAATGTAGCACAATATCATCGCTTCGAGAACACCGGTGTCCAGCGCGGGGGCGGGGGAAGGGCGGAAACATCGAGTGGAGGGGTGGGGACAAGAGCAGGGAAATATGATGGAGTACCTCAAAGTTTGATGCAAAAACGCATGATTGCACCGGCTCGCCTGGTTCGTTTCAGCCTGGGTTTTTATTTTATAATTAAAACACATTTCGAGCAGTATAAAAAACTTCCAATAATACATTGAAATCAAGCTCCACTAGACCATACTAAGACCAAGATCTCACTAAGCATGTCAAACATATACTGGCTGATATCACGCCTAATACATCTTGTTGGATCGATTCGATATGGAGAGTTGTTTAAATGCAGAGTGGTGTTACGATCCCGCCAGCAAATAACTGATTTGACGAAACAGTAGAGCGAACTGTTAATAAATTCCGATCTAGAGATTCAGAGAGAAAAATTCGATGGTTCAGTGGCTGCAACAATTCTTCTGTTTTATTCGTCCGGGTTCTTAACAGTCCTAATGTAATGTACATACCCTGGATTACCTCAGTCGCTTTTCCTCTTCGTCAGCTGACAAATATGTCAGCTTTACCTGAGATCCGTATATCAAGTATTTATTCGTGCCTTAGGTGTAAGCAAGAGTGCGAATATTCAACGTGTAAAATTAAAAAGACAATATCGATGTGCAGCGTCAAAAATATCGGCGTCCAACAGCGAAGCTCCCGATCCTCTTCCAAGTTCTGCGGGCCGCTTTGGCCTGCACTTGTTGCTCCCTCCTCCAAATCTGTTCTTAACAACTAAAAATCCTCAGCCGCTTCTGCCAATCCGTTTTCGCCAACATCCTTATACATATTTGACAAAAATACCATATGTACAGATTTAAGACAAAGTAATGATTATCACTGAGATCACTGAGATCTCAAACATATACATAAATCACTAAAAACTAAAATTGTTCAATAAACATCGCTTAACGCGACATAAAACGGAGCGCACAGGCGCAAGTAGTTTTGCTAATTAAGCGTACAAATGGGCCCAAAGACATCACCAGCAAACTGTACCGTAATTAGGTCGGAGAAGGAGCAACCTTGGCTATCGTCGTCGAATACATTTAAAATAAAGGGTCGTAGAATGGCTGTAAGGAAGAGGCATTGCTGTTGATCTATCGGTATTAAAGCACCGAATGCAGAAGTCATCGATAATGACAAATAGACCATGTCGATAAAGCGATCCACCAGCTTCCGTCGGTATTGATCCAAGCCGTCGATTTTGCGACCCCTCCTTCATTCTCGATTCCAAAAGGGTCGTCGGTTCCGGAAAGCCTTCGGTACTGTGGACGTCAGTAATTGGTACCAACTGTCGATTGAGTATAGTCGATTCCAGCTGACCGATATTGGTGGAGCAGAAAAGGTTGCCGCTACTTTCGTCGATCGAGCAATGCAAATTCCCAAAGAGGTGGTGATAAAAAGAGTCCTGTCTTCCTTGATGCTGAAAAGCAGAATGCCGTCAGCCGCTTCTGACAGAGTGAAGTCAACTGCGACAGAGCCGCCGTTAAATGGAACGGTCCACAGTCGATGCTAAACAGTAAACTCCAAACGGCTGTCGTCGAAAATGCAGAGTCAGCTGCAAAAAAAGTGTTGACAGAAGAGGTGTGGCCTCCGTTGATGTTGCAGAATGGAACGCAGCCTTCCACCGCCGATGGTGCAAGATTGACAGAAGCGTGCTGCTACCACGCAACTGCAGCCGATGAGGGGGAGAGGACAAGAAGGAGGGGGAACTCGCCGCGCAGTGAGGCACCACCCCCTTGTTACTAAGTGCTGTTTAGGGAAATGGCAAACAGAACTTCTCTGTTGTTTGAAATTCTCATTTTCAGGACGAGGAGGGGCAGCGTTACTGACTGAGAAGGAGCTGGAACCCTCTGTAGGGGTCGAAATGTGGAATTATTGTGAATTCTTTATGCTTTGCACAAAACTTAATGCTTAAATTTAAAGCAGTTTTGGGCGCAACACCTAGGACCCGTCTACATAAAAAGCCCGACACTACGATTTCTGCAGTTCGAACCCAGACCGAAAACCGCATAAAAATGAATGTATATTTTTCCGCTGAGCGAGTTTTAATATTGCCGAAATGGTGTTACTTCGCTTATAACTGATCTATATTACAAACACTTCATTTATTGCAGCGAGCGTATCGCATGCACTTAGCGCAAAAAGAACTCAGGAAGTTACGACTGGAAGCAGACAGAAAAAATAAAGCGGCCA